CACGAGGCCACATTGCCGCCCGCTGTGGCGACGGAGCGCGCCAAAATTCTGGGCAGCAGCGGGACCCGCCAGATCCAGCCGCGTCGGCCACTTGCCTGGGGGACTGGCGAGCAGGCCGCTCCTGCGCGCCGCGGCTGGAAGGCGGAGCAGGGCGGGAGAGCCCCCCGCGGCCAGAGAGGGAACGAACTGCAAGAACGGGGCTGGACCTACACTGGGTGCCCAAAAAACATACACCACCACCACGTCAATTCCTCCCCTCTCCTCTTTCCAGCGAGAGGGAGCGGGGGAGGGAGGTGGTGGTGGTGTATATGTTTGGCCCTCCCATACACGTTGTGGTTCGTCGTTGTTTTCGTTGCCTCAGCTCCCAGCGCAGCAGCAGGCAGAGGCCGTCCTGGGGCTGCGAGAAACTGGCCATCAGGCCGAGCTACCGAGCGCAGGTCACCAGGAGAAGGAGAACCACATCATAATTATCATCATCATCATCATCAGCAGCAGCATCAGCAGCATCATCAGCATCAGCATCAGCATCAGCATCCGCATCAGCATCAGCATCAGCATCATCATCATCATCATCCTCATCATCATACTGATAATCATCATACTAATTATCAGTATCAGCATCAGCAGCAACATTATCATCAGCATCAGCATCAGCATCCTCATCCTCATCATCAGCATCATCATCACCATCATCATCGTCATGGTCATCAGCATCATCATCATCAGCATCATCATAATCGGCAGCATCAGCATCATCATCAGCAGCATCAGCATTAGCATCATCACCATCAGCATCATCAGCATCATCATCAGCAGCCGCATCAGCATCATCAACAACATCAGCATCGTCATCAGCCGCATCATCATCAGCATCAGCATCAGCGGAACCATCAGTATCGGCATCGTCAGCAGTATCAACATGAGCATCACTCGCAGCATCAGCATCACCATCATCATCATTGTCATCACCATATAGCATCAGCATGCATCGTCATCATGGTCATCATCAGCAGCAGCAGCAGCATGCATCATCGGCAGACCACATGCTGAAGGAGGAACGATGGTGGAGGAGGACTACGCAGGCGCGCTGGCCCTCGGGTCAGTATTTCACGAACTGCGTAGCTGCGAAGCGGGGGAGAACAACGAGGAGTTATGTGGTCATGAGGAGGGGGAGGAGAAGAACGTGGCGACGCCATGCAGCGCGCCTCGGGAAGCCCCGCTCTGCAGCTTGATAACCTGCACTGCTTAGACTCGAAATTGTCGATCTCGTGGGATCGGCACGTCAAGCCTGCAGCGACCATGGATCGGGACTTCCTAGATCATCTTGCCAGTCACGGGCATGTGCTTGTCTGCGGTATTGCGTGTGCCGATCGGCATGTCAGGAGCTCAGCAGGCCGTATCTCCTGCACTGGCATGGAGAACCCCACGGTCAAATCAAGCAGGATGCCGCGTGCTCCTCCGATTCCCCCAGCGCGCAGCCCTGGCCTGCTCCGCAGAGGGCTCGGCAAACCACTCGGCGCACACCCTAGGCGGTGAGGGTGGTGCCTGTGCTGCCCCGTCGCGAACAAGGCCCTCTCTGGGCTCGCCGTCCGTGGCCACGTGCTCCTGGGCCGAGGGGGTCTCGGCTGCCTGTGTCCCCTGCCCTGCCGGCTGAGGCTAGGACGATCCATCGGGTCATGACGCGGTTGGCCCAGAACACTCCAGTGCTTCTGGCGGCACTCGGCCACTCGTGCTCGGCCATTCGACTCTGGCGGCGCGGGGCAAGAAGAAGGCCTGGAAACCTTGGACCGCATCATTCTCACCAGTCCTCGCTCCTCCGCGATGCGCCGCAGCCATCTGCAGCGACATGGGCGGCGGCGGCAACACCGCTGCCGCCGCCGTAATGGCGGCCTCGGCGACCCGCCAGTGTGACGGAGGTGGCGTTGCGGCCATTGCCCGTCGGCGTCCGCTCGGGGGCCCTGGGCCCCGAACTAGATGGCGGTGGGAAAAGACGACGACGAGGACGAGGAGGACAAGGAGGAGGACCCCCCCATCCCTGGCCGCAGGGCAAACACATCAGATTCCTCCCCCCACCCCGCATGAGGAAACTCCGGCCGCGGCGACGAAGGCCCTCCAGGACGAGCAGCGGCAATCGGAATGTCTGTCCCTCCCATTTCTGACCGTCCCGCGCCGCCCCCTGCCTGCAGCTGTGATCCAGGGCCCCTGCGGCCGTGGACCGAAGTCCTCTGCCCGCCGACAGGGCGCCGTCGCGCTCACGGATCACGGACCGCCTCGACGCAGCAGGCGGAAGGCTCTGGGCTCCCGCTGCGCCAGCGTCCCGCCGATTCGTTACCGCAGCGTGGACCTGGCCCTCGGCCGCAGACTGCATGCCCGTCTCACGCACAGGCTTCAAACAGGCCCCCGAGGCGGGCACCTGACACGTCCCGCACGTGCACGCGTCGTCTTCACGCGGCCTCTTGCCACAGGACCCCGCATCCTCTGCAAAGTCTCGATGGCCTAGGCCTCGGATATCAGGTCAGTCGACCGCGCCCTTGCCGAGGCTCTGGCGGGCCTGCCCTCGTTGTCGAAGCCAAGCAGCTTGCCAAGCAACCCGCCAGCCTTGGCGATGGAGCCATCGACGCCGAGCGCCTGCCCTTCCTCTTTGGATCACCCCTCTCAGAGGGGCGCGAACATGGATTAACGATCCATGGATCTGGCGCGCGATCGCCCAATCCATGTGGCCGGTGACGCCTCGTTCGGCGGCGGAATTCAGCGCTTTCCCATCGAAACGGGACCCGTCGCTGATCCACGCCCCCTTGATTCATGCCTGCGATCGCCTGACCTTCGTAGCCGCGACGCGACCCGTCCGCCTCCCTCCACTCCCTCCCCCTACCCCCTCTTGGCCGCTCTGACTCTTGGGCGGCGGTGGGGCTCTCGCGGCCTCAGCTCGATGTGGATCCTCCGATGCCCTGGGCCACGCTCCGGTTGGCCACTTGCCGAGCGCGACGACGACTGAAAGAGGAGGAGCGAGAGGAGGAGTGAGAGGAAAGGAGGAGGAGGAGGAGGAGGAGGAGTGAGACGAGACGAGGAGGAGGAGGAGGAGGAGGAGGAGGAGGAGGTGGTCGGAGCTTCCAGCGCCAGATGCGCTTCGCGTGGGAGGGGCAGCAAGCGGCCACCGGTGCCGCACACGACGGCGCGTCCCCGCCCCGCAGGGCCATCGGCTCGGGGGCGGCAGGCGAGGCCCTCGCGGCCCGCAGCTCGATGTGGCTGCCGATGCCCTGTGCCACGCTCTGGTTGGCCAACTGCTGAGGGCGACGAGGAGTGCCAGGATGCAGCACTCAGCACTCAGTGTGTGGCGAGTCCCGCACGTGGGGTACAGGTCCCCAAGGAGAGAAACGACGACGATGCGAGAGGACGTCGGCATCCGCGGGCGTCGGCGAGGCAACAACAGAAACAGAGCGTGGACTACTGCGAGGTACAAGGGCCAGATTAGTGAACCAAGCGGCACACAAAACGCATCGCGGCTAGCACTGCCGCCGCAGCTGCTGGAGGATTGAACGCGAGAGGGAGAGGAGGAGGAGGAGGAGGAGGAGGAGGAGGAGGAGGAGGAGGAGGTGCCCATGCAAGGATGCACTTCCACTGAGAGAAGTGCCCCATTGGGAGACAACCGTTTGGAGATCCTGAAGCGTACCAAAGCACCGTTCTCGAAGTCACACGCCTCCAATCAGCCTGACTGTTGCGTCTTGACGACCCTAAATCACACCAGAACACCATTCCTGGGACTTCAACACCGCGAATGAACGTAATGGTTGTGCCCTGACAGACCTGAATCATTGGTACGCTGACCATGGAAACCCGTGAAACTCTTGCAAAGTTTAAGACGAATGCGCGCGGCGTTAAGGCGAGGGCCACACTTTGAGAAGAAACTGCCCTCAACATGCAAATCGCTTTCAACTTGTTTAAACGAATGTGCGCGGCGCTAGAAGGGGAGAACCACATTTTGCGAACGGCCCGCCCTCAATCGGTAAAATTCCTGCAAGGCTTTGACACGAATGTGCGCGGCGCTAAGGCGAGAACACACATGTTGAAAAATGCCCGCCCTCAATCCGCGAAACCCTTGCATCATTTGAAAGCGATTGCGCCCGGCGCTGGGTCGAGAGCCACATGTTCAAAAATGCCCGCCTCCTATCTGTGAAATTTGTTACAACTTATGAAGCTTCAAGATCATACAAATGGTGAGGAAGTCTCAGGCGAAACGCCGGTCCACCCTTCCGACTGGCCTCGGGGTGCGACAGGGAACAGTTATTTATGAGGGAAAGGAGTGGAGGAGGAAGATGAGGAGGAGGAGGGGGAAGAGGAGGAGGAGAAGGAGGAGGAGGAAGAAGAACAGGAGCAGCAGGAGGAGGGACAGCCGACGGAATAAGGCCATGCAGGGTGACCACGAGCTAATAGCTAGGAGGAGACTAGCGCTGCGCATGAGCGCGCAGCCTGCCTCGAGGAGGAGGAGGAGGAGGAGGAGGAGGAGGAGGAGGAAGAAGAGAGCGGGAAGGAGGGACGACGCTATTTTGGTGAGCTGCACTTCTGACGTGTCCTGGCGGCGCCGGGACATATCTTGAGCGGGAAAGACGGGAATAGAAAGGTTGAGAAAGGGAGGGAGGAAAATGGGAAGAGGACTACGGGCAGCGGAGGACTGGTCAAGCCTGACGTCAATCAAACTGCGGCCCTGGTACTGGATCGGACGGCCCAGTCTCGAAAGGAATCGGACGGACGAGGGCCCCACCCCCACCCCCAAAACACATAGACACGCACGCTTCAAGCGCTCGCGAACGCGTGCCTCTGTAGGGAGGATCGACTCAACGCGGACACTTCCGTAATCTCCGCGCGGAAAATCAAGAGGAAGACCTACGGGAACAGACGCGGGGCGGCGGCGAGCGTACGCACACGCCACACGCACGCGCATGTGGCCGTGCACGCGAGCATGCACGGAGACCGACGCGCACGATCCGCACGGGTGCACGCATGGAGCCCGACTTGAATGACGCGGAATGGACAGGCACGTACACGCGCGCGCGTTCACGGAGCCCGCACCACCCCGCTGGTCCTGCATGAACCTCCGGCCACCTCAACACACGGCCTTCAACTTCAGCTCATCCCTCGCCAGCTTCCTCCTCCTCCTCCTCCTCCTCTCCTCTCCTCACCCCTCTCCACTTCCTGTCGCCCCTCGGCACCAATCACCACGCATCCAAGCTCCACGCCCAATCGTGTCCTCGACCCCAGCGATGTACTCGTATTGGTACTCACTCTGGTCTTCATCGAAATCGCTGAACAAATCCTGATGCACCGCGCTCTCGTCGTAATCCTTGTGGCCGCGCGCCATCAGCTGGCAGGAAAAGCGAGTGCGCATCACATCCTCCATCGGCTCAACGATGCCTCCTTTCAAGCAATTGCCTGCGCCCCGAGGGAAATCGATCCTCGGGCTGGTCTCCACACGTTCGTCTCCAGTCAGTGGAGAGGCAGGAACAGGCAGAGTGTGAATATGCAGCAAATGTCCCCAGATGGAAACAGGCCGTGTATGTACCCAATCCGCCACCATGCCCCCTGACACGTTGAGACTCCATAGAGTGGCGAGTGCTGCCAGGCAGGGTTTCTGTGAGTATTCTGAGGGACCCGCTCCTCCCCACGCGTCCGTTCACTCGGCGGCCCGATGCGTCCTCAGGGCCCTCAAAGGCTTCTAAGAAGTCCCAAGGAGGGACAAGGGCGACCATGAGAGAGGTACCCAACAACTTCCCCCCCAGAAAAATCTAAGGGGCAACCAGAGGAGCTCCAAAAGGCTGCCCAAGCACCAAAGAGAATGACAAGAAGCCGTCCAACGGCCAAACTCGCTCAAAACTACCGTGCTCGAGTGCATTGCATTTCTTTGGCCTCTCGGCTCAAGATGGTTTCCAAGGGCGCCTCAGTGGAGCCCGGTGAGGCCCTCCAGAAGCACACACGACGGCCGAGGACAGCCCCAGGAGGGCCCCAAGACGGCCAAAGAGGAACACGGCACACTAAGGGAGACACAAGACTCGGGTACGGGAGACTCGGGTTGGCCTGGCGGGGCAATCATGAAAACGGCAAGGCCCGATCTGAAGTTTGACGCGAGCATCCGCTGCAAGCATCCCACGAAAACTGGACCGTTAAGATCCAGGTCGCGCTCGTCAAAGAGCGTCGGCAAGACCGAGCTCCAGCGCACTCGAGCCTTACATCCCCCCGACACGAGACAGGACATCCCAAGAGGGCCCCAGGATAGCACGTGGAGGCCCCGGGAGGCCCCCAATACAGCCCCAAGGGACTCCCCAGACGGCCGAGGCGGGCCCACAAGTGGCCCAACACAGCACCTGGACGGCCCAGGAAGGCCCCGAGAGAGCCACACGGGAGCCCAAGGCAGCCCCAAGACGGCCCGGGCAGCCCCCCTATGAGAGCGCCCCGTTCAAGGAATAGGAGCGAGCTGTCGCATGCTACGGTCTCCGAGACTCGTGATGCTGCGTTGGAACGGTGGCTGGACTTCCGCAAGCAGCTGGATAACAGCATGAGAGGCGCACCACAACCACCGAGGAGAGAAGGAGAACGAGAGATATGACTATGAGAGCTAGACAGGGAAATAGCGGGAGAGAGAGAGAGAGAGAAAGAGAGAGACAACAAAAAGAAAATTGGGACGACGCTAGCAAGGACGACATGTCAGCTAGAGTCCGCCCAAGGGGTGACCACTAGTGCCCAAGGTCTCCATCTGCGAAATTTGGCAAGGGAATCACACCCACACCCACATGGCAGCATGGGCTATAGCTGGATGGGGACGGTGCGAAACCTAACGAAGATCCGATCCGAATCGTACTACTGTTCCTGATCCTTCTCCTTCTCATCCCTGATCAGTCCTCATATACGAATCCAAACTGCTAGTACGTGCGATGTGAATGTCAGACTAATTTGATCGACTCGGCTCATACAAAACAACCGAAGACGAACATTTCATGAATACGTCACAGTCAATCACAACCCATCGCCTTCACATGCGCATAATTTTAAATACTTTGCAAATAATAGTTCGGATGAGAAATATGCCAATGATGCAGCACAAATCGGAAGCGGCAGATGAGCGGCACAAATCGGAAGCCCGACGTCGGAACCCTCCTCCTGCTCTTCCTGCCCGCCAAGAGGAACTTGGGTCGCGGGCCTCTGCCGGGGATACCGCTTCCGCCCCAGCCCCAGATCTGAAAGCTGTGTAATGTGCTCTGGTGGGGGGCAGTGGGGGTAGCGATCGCTTCCTAGGGTTCCACGATTGGACGGCGCCCTTTCTCGATAGGGGTGCGCCCGCGTCCGAAAACCCCCCAGGGTTGTATCCCCGAGCTCCCCGCTTCTCGGGGCGGCGACTTGTTTCGGATGGAACTGTGGGATTGGCGCCGATAAACCGACTGCGGGTGGAAGATGCCCCCCCGCGGAGCAGCAGCAAGGAGTGCACACCCGTCGGAGCAGCCGCTGACCCCGCCCCCCCCATTCCGGCCGGCCTGGATGGCGTCGAGCTCGGCGGCCGCCGCATGCTCTTCCTGGGGGCCCGCGCGGGGAGGAGGAGGAGGCACCAGCACTGCACAGCACGCCATGGGCACGGTTCGTGGGACAAGCGCTGCTGCGGTGTATGGGCCCATACGGATTGGTCGAGACAACGTTTCTCAACTTGTACTCCTCTGTCTGGCCCCGCAGGACCCACGCGAGCCTGCGAGTGGCCCTTGCTGCGAAAGCGCTCCGGGCCGCAGAATTGCTGAGGACCGGCGCGGCGGGAGCGGACAACTCGTGCCCCCTGCCACCACGCTCGCCGGCGTGCTTCCTCGCTCCCGTCCGGCAGGGGACGCCGGGGCCGAAGGATGCGGCCCCCCACCCGGGCAGGTGCGGCCTCTTCCCGGCACCCTCCGGGCGCGGCCCGAGGCGCGGGCGCGGCGGGGGGAGGAGGAGGAGGAGGAGGAGGAGGAGGAGGAGGAGGAGGAGGAGAGGAGGAGGAGGAGGGAGGAGGAGGAGGAGGAGGAGTAAAAGGGGAAGGCCTCCAGAGAGAGCCGAGGGAAGCGCGGGGGTGGGGCGGACAGGGGCCCGCTCGCTCGCGTTCGTGGCCGTCGCCGGGCGGTTGCGCAGCAGGATGCCGTGCACTTCGGCAACCGCATGGGGCCTACCGCAAGCCAGCGGGACGCTTGCACGTCAGGCAAGCGTCCCGCTGGCTTGCGCTTCTTCTTCTTACTATTAGTAGTATTATAATTATTATTATTATTACTATTATTATTAATAGTATTATTATTATTACTACTATTTTTATTATTATTATTATCATTATTATTATTATTATTATGTCTCTTATTCTTCCTCCTCCTCCTCCTCCTCCTCCTCCTCCTCCTCCCTCCTCCTCCCTCCTCCTCCTCCTCCTCCTCCTCCTCCTCCTCCTCCTCCTCCTCTTCCTCCTCCTCCTCCTCCTCTTCCTCCTCGGTCTCTTAGTCGGACAACTGGCGCCAACCATGTTCCAGGAAGGCTCTCCGGAAACATGATGGGGTCGGCCGTGTGAAGGCCCTCGGTTTCGGAGTTATCCACATGAGGCTGCCCAGCCCGAAGGACGGACCAGTGGAAACATTAGCAAAGGTTGAGATGGTGGTGAGGCCTGGTCGGAACATGGTGAGGCGCAAGGCTTGAACTCAAGAACGACAACGGCTGGAAAGGACACGGCAAGGCGCTGCGCTGAATGGGGGTGTTTGGTGGGACGGCACGGACCGTCCTCCTCATCTTCGGCCTCCTTGCCGGAATGGCGGTGGCAATCACGTTCCCAGAAGGCTCTGTGGGAACATGATGGTGTGGGGCCGCAGTGAAGTCCTCGTGGAGGTCGCCAGGGTAACTCAAAGGAGGCTGCGAAGCCCGCAGGACAGCCAGAGTGAGCCATTCGGAGATGTTGTCTTGGTGGTTCGGCTGCGAGGTGAGATGGGAGAGGCGCAGGGTAACAAATCAAAAACAGTAGGAGCTGGGCTGGCCAGGGCAAGGAAGGAAGGGGGTAGAAAGAGGCCTCGCAGGGGGGTTCTCGGGGGACGTCGTTTGGCCTCTTAGGGGCCGGTTTTCGAGCCTCCTGGGGCGTCGGGGGGGGCCTCTTGTGGTCCTCTTGGAGCCCCGTGACAGCACATGGAACCTTCTTGGGAATCTCTGGGGTCCTCTGTGGACGAAAAACTCTCACTTTCGGGTCATGCTCCCCCTGTGGAGACCGTCTTGGGGCCGTCGTCAGGGCCGCGGAGGCCGTGTCGAGCGCCCCTGGAGCCGTGAAGGACGCCTGGGGCAATCCTGGCGCCGTCTTGAGGCCTCTGGGGAACCTCAAGAGGCGGAGAACTAGAAAATTCGGTTCATGCCCCTCCTCTCGATACAATCTTGGGGTCATCTTGAGAGTCTCGTTGGTCGTCTTGGGCGCTCCTGCGGACATCATGGAACGCTGCTAGGCCGTCCCGGTACCTTCTTGGGGGCCGCCGGGGCCGTCCTGAGACGGTGTCAGAAGCCGTGTGGGCCGCCATGGAGTGTCAGGATGTCGAGAAAGAGACGGCACCGAAAACATTGGAAAAACCCTTGCAAAAGCAATGATTGCTGCTTCTCGGGGCACTCGGCTGGGGCCTCGGGCGACCTCTGGAGTCTGCCTGGGGCCGTCCTGCCACCTGCTGGAGGCCTCTGGGGAGCTCCATGAAGCGAAAGACTCGAAATTTCGCTTCATGACCCCCCTCTGGAGGCCATCCTGGGGCCGTCTTGAGGGCCTCGTAGGCCGTCCCTCGGGGCGTCGTGGAGCCCTGCTAGGCAGCCACGGGGCCTTCCTGGGGGCCGCTGGGCCCGTCCTGAGGCGGTGTCGGAGGCCTCGTGGGCCGTCGTGGAGTGTGAGAATGACGAGAAGGAGAGGGCACCGAAAACACGGGAAAAACCATTGCAAAAGCAAAAACATTGCAAACAACTGTGGAAAACCCTTGGAAGATATTGGAAAAAAACCGAAACCATTGGAGAAAAAACGACAGCATGGGAAAACATTGGAAATTACAAGCGAATCCATGATCTTGTCTCTTGGTGTGCTTGTCTGGGGCCGCGAGCGCGCACTGAAGCTGGCCCGGGGCCGTCCTGGCGCAGCCCGGAAGCCTCCGGAGGCCATTCAGAAAACATCGTCGATGCTCTCGGGGTGTGAATAGACTCGGTGTGGTAGACTGTGGAAGAACTGCGTGGGCCCTCATTGCGACCACAAAGCTGCTCCGGGAACTCCGAGGGCGCCCCTGGAGCGCTGCCCGGCCATGTGTACCCGTGGTCGTGGTCCTGGGCCCGCCCGAGGTCTACTCCGATGTGCAGGTTAATAAGTACATGCATGTGTGCATCTATCTATGTATTTATATATGTATATAGATATGTATATGCTACAGGCATCTACATAAACCTAGTTGTCCAGGTATGTGTAGGTACATACATATGCTCACATGCATGCGCGTATATAAACTAGTGTGTGCATGCGTACATGCATGCATGTATGCACGCATGTATGCATGTACGGATGTGAGACTGCGTGAACGTATGTGTGCATGTATGTAGGTGTGGAGGTGTGTGTGTATGTATGTACATATGTATGTTTGTATGTACGTCCGTATGTATTTATGTATGTATGTATGTATGTATGTATGTATGTATGGCTGTACGAATGGATGTATGTATGTATGTATGTATGTATGTATGTGAACATGTTTGTATGTAGGTATGTATGTGTGTATGCGTGTATGGTTGTATGAATGTGTGTATGTATTTATGTACGTATGTATGTAGGGAGATATGTATGTAGGTATACATGTATGTATGTATGTACGTATGTATGGATGTATGTGTGTATGTACGCATGTATGTATGTATGCATGTATGCATGTATGTATGTATATATGTATGTATGTATGCATGTATGTATGTATGTATGTATGTATGTACGTATGTGTGTATGTATGTATGCATGTATGTATACATGCATGCATGCATGCATGCATGCATGTATGTATGTATGTATGTATGTATGTATGTATGTATGTATGTATGTATATATGTATGTGTGTATGTATGTATGTATATATGTATGTATGTATGTATGCATGCATGCATGCATGTGTGTATGTATGAATGTGTGTATGTATGTATGCATGTGTATTTGTGTATGTATGTATGTATGGATGGATGGATGCGCGTATGTGTGTATGAATGGACGTGTGGATGTATGAATGGATGGATGGATGGATAGATGGATGGATGTAAATATGTATAACATTAAACATTGTATATTACAGCGAGGGTAGACGATTATAGCAAAACGTTTTCCCCCCTGCCCCAGCGCAGGCCATCTCGCATTGTGCAGGGCATACGAACTCAATCTCGGGGACGACATCGACACACGCCGCCAGACGCTGTTGGGCCGCCATGGGGTGGCTTTGACCAGTCCTTATCGCCACCCCCGCCGCTCCGAATCTTCAACCCTCGTGCCCCCCGGCCCGGGGGCCAACCCGATTTGCCCGCCCTCTGCGGGCGGAGCACCGCGGCTCGCTACTATGAGGGCCACGGGACACGTTTCTCACGCGCTTGCGGCATGGTCTGCAGCTTCGAACTTCAGGGCGTCATAAAGACGAGTCTCGGGTGCCGTTCCAGGCGGGGGCCACTACTTGGCGACCCTCTTGCAGCTCTGGTCAGAGGAAATTGTGATCGCAGTGACTGGTCGATCTTGTTGACGATGGTCTTAACCAGCCTCGAACTTATCCCTATCCCTAAGATGGGCGAGCAAAAAACGAGGACAATCTTAGGGATAGGCCCTCAGAAACTGAGGGAATCCTGAAGATCGGCATCGAGGTGAGGTGATGTCAAACATAGGGATAGGGATATGTTTCAAACTGGTAGGGTCTGGATGAGGTGTGTTGGGGGGGGGCACGGCGGTGGTGGCGGCCAGCGGCGGGTCCGCGTGTGGCGGCTCCGGGGACCACGCCTCGGACTCCTCCGGGTCCGCGTCCGAGTCCTCCTCCGGCTGCTCCAGCGTGGGCTCGAGCCTGGCCAGAAGAGGGCATGCGCAAGGAGGAGGCGGGACAGAGAGCCGGACACCCTCGCGGGGAACGAAAATCAAGTCGGCAGATCCTGTGCCGTGTTCGGGCTCTGGGGGCCCCCACTGGATCCCAGGGCCAGGGCAGGGAAGAGGGATCCAGACCTCTGGAGAGCCACGCTGTGAGAAAATGACGGCGTGTTTCCTCGTCCTGTCGTCGTTCCGCACCTGCTGCAAAGCGAGGAGAACTAACACGGTCCACGATAGACAGCTCAAACACCGACTGGCTCGAGCCCTGCTCCCTCACTCCCTCCTTCTCCTCCCCTCCTCCCTCCCGCAGACCCCCTGCTCCTGCTCCTCCCTCGACATCGACCCCTGAACCCGCAGGAGGAGGAGGAGGAGGAGGAGGAGGAGGAGGAGGAGGAGGAGGAGGAGGAGGGAGGAGGGAGGAGGGAGGAGGGAGGAGGGAGGAGGGAGGAGAGAGGAGGGAGGAGGGAGGGGGAGGAGGAGAGGAGGGAGGAGGGAGGGAGGAGGGAGGAGGGGGAGGAGGGAGGAGGGAGGAGGGAGGAGCAGGAGGAGGAGGAGCCACAGCCGCGGCGACGAGGAGGCCCCACGAGGCCCCCAAACACGGAACAACAGATCTTCGCTCCTGGTCTCGGCGGCTGGCCGAGAACGACGACGTCCAACGGGCGGGCAGGAGCGGCCGGCATCGAAACGATACCTCGGACCGCAGAATTAAAAGTAACATCGAGTCGTGACGCATAGTTCGAAGAAGAAGAAGAAGAAAAACAAACAAAAGAAAAACTGTTGGCGCTCCGCGCGGATTTCTGGGATCTGCGCTGGGGCCGCCTGGCGGCGCCTTCGGCGCCGCCCCTGGCGCCGCCCCTGGCGCACCCCGCGCGCCAGGGAGGGGGGCCCAACGCCAATCCAAGAAATCCGCGCGGACCGTCAAAAGTTATGCTTGTGTGTTTTTCTCTTCCTCGAATAGTTCGGCACGACATCGGCATCGAACCGAATCGGCCGCGACGGGATGCACCACAGCGCTGGGCAAACGCCTGGCAACGTCGCATCGTCGGAGCATGGGGGTCGAAACTCGGATCGAGCCGACGCGCCGACGGCATCGAAGTGGACCCTGTGGGGGGCCGGGGGGGCAGTCCCCCCGAGGGCCCGGGGAGGGCCCCGACAGGGCGACAAGCCGGCGAGAGGAGCCTCGAAGGCGCGGCCCCCCCAGAGGACCGTCGCCTGCTCCACGGCGCGAGGAGGAGGCGGAGGCGAGGGGCCGCCCCGACGGCCTGCTCCTGCAGCTGTAGCGCAGCAGCGAAGAGGCCAGCGCCTCACCGGAGCTCGGGCGCGGCCTAACCAGCCCCTGGCAAACCGTCCCCTGCCGCGACCTCATCCTCACCGTGCAAGCTTCCCCCCGGCCGCATGAATTTCGTCGTGGGGCGAAGCGAGGGGTACGTCACGGAAGGGGATGGCTTGCTAGGGGTCGGTTAGGCCGCCCCTGAAGAGCGGGCGGTTATCGTCGCCACCGGCCTTCGCCTTCGCCAGAGGCCTCCTAGATGGAGTCGGAGTAAATGGGGTCGAAGGATCGCGCCGCATCGCCGACGCATCGACGACGTCGGCGATGCATCGGCGACGTCGGCGTGGAAAAAATCGGGTTCAACATCGAGCCGCATCGCCGATGCATCGGCGAGGCGGCGCGATCATCCGACCCCATCTGCTCGGACCCCATCCAATAGGCCTAGATCGCCGCCGCCGTCGTGGCTGGCTTCGCTGGCATGGCTGTCGTCGTCGTCGCCGCCGCCGTCGAGGTCGCCGCCGCCGCCGCCTGCGCGGCCGTGGCTGCCGCGGGCGCAGCACCTCGCCGCCGCGGCCGTGGCCGACGCCTCGTCGCCGTCGGAGGCCGTCGCCGCTCGTCGACGTCGCCAGCCACGTCGACGACGTGGTCGGGGTCGGAGCGTTCTGCGCCTCGGCAGCTCTTCTGCGCGGCCGGGAGCGATGGTGTTTTTTGGGGTGTGGGGGGGGGCAATGCACACCTGTTGCGTCGGCGGCTGGGCAGAGGTCGACTGCTCCGGCGGAATGGCAACAAGGGACACGCTATCTGAAAATTCAGGCCAGGATGCACGGAAGGAGGAGGAGGAGGAGGAGGAGCCCTGGCGCGAAAGGAAGAGAGGAAGCTGGGACACACACACACACACACACACACATGCGCGCGCACGTCGATGCTGACCCTATCAGCTCGCGCTCGTGCCGTTCGCTAGCCGGGGGCGGGGGGTGGAGAGGGAGCAACTCTTTCAGGATGGCGAGGGCAGGGGGGGAGGACGACGAGCCAGGAGAAAAAGCTAAAGGACGCGGAGATCCCTGTGCATCTCATTCCCTAGAAGGTCCCGCTGTGATTGACAGGTCGTGAGTGTCTGGAAGTGCAGACGAGTCCGAGTGGGCGACGAGTGTGACGACGACGGCGGCGGCTACAATGACGGATAGCGACGACGACAACTCACAGAGAGACAGGCGGTGAGCAGGCCCTCACCCCCTCTCCTTCTTCTTACTACTCGTCGTAACCCCTCCCTTCTTTTCCTCCCTCCTCCCTCCTCCCTCGTCACTTATCCCTCGTCCTGCGTCCTCCGATGCAATAAGACGGCACGCTGTGCACGGATGTCGCGCGCTGGTCCTTGCGATGATAAGGAATGATGAGGTGTGCGATGAAAAGGTGTGCGCCACTGTAGTATACATTGATCCGCTACGCCTAGCTCGCGCACGCACTGATATGCTGTACAACTGCGAAGCCTGGGCGAACATGAAATACAATCCAATGTACGGACGTGTGCGGCAAGGTGCTGTGCTACGCGGCACGATGATGAATTATACAAGGTAATGCCATCGTAGTGAATGCAATGCTGTGGCATGCGGTGCCATATGTCACGATCATCACTTACTGGGGCTACGACGTGCAATGTTACACAATTGATCGCATAACAAAAGTGCGCCGTGCACGTGTTGCAATTGAAGCTATGTCACGCGTGAAGCTCAGCGGCCAATACAGGACAGCAGCGCAAGTACATGCTACGCATTACTGAACTATGGCATGACATGCAATGAGTTGCTGTAGTGTGGTCAAATGTATGCAAGTATATGGTATGGCATGTTCGCCGTGTTAAGCTGAGCAGCGATGTGCAATGCTGCGCAGCGATATGATATGCTGTGCCGTCCGATGCAACATTATGCCAGGCGGGATCTCACCATATGATACCATTCGGTCTGCGGCGAGGTGTCGAAAGCCAGAAGCGTCCACAAACCTCGACCACCGCTGCTCGAAGCGTCGAACGGGCTGCTACACCTGTGGCCAGATATGCCATACCACGCATTGCATTGAAACGTCGGCGCGCCGCTTGTTCTCGAAGCGCCCAAGTGGACGACGCCGAAACCATTGCAAACCCGCGCCAAGCCCCGCGCCCCGCGCCCACGTGGACGAGGCTGGCACCGCAGCAAGACACCACGAACCCACCGCGCCCGAGGCGGAGTTCGCCCTGGTGCCCACGGCGTCCGCCCCAACACGCAAGGCCGCGCGTCCGAACAAATGGCACGGCGACAAAGCAGATACTTTGAGGAACCCTGTGACCCACGGCGATGCACAGCATATGATGTGCATCGCCGACCGAGTCGACCGAGTCCCCCTACTTACGTAGCGCACTGCTATGCGATGCCACCCACCGTCCCCGCCGAGCTCGACGCCGGGCGCGACGACGACTGCGCTGGCCCCTGGTCGTCCTCCTCCCTCCTCCTCGAGAGCGCAGCAGCAGCAGACGAGGCGAGGAGAGCACCTGGGATGGGCGGCACGCGGGGGGGCTCCGGCAGAAGCGCCTCGAGGTGGCCCACCAGCGAGATCCCGAGGTCCGCGCCTGCGGGCAAGCGCGCGGGCTGGCGGAAGGCCACCGGGGGAACGAGAGGTGGCCGATCTCGAAAGGCCTCTGCCGTCCTCCGCAGGCCTTCTGCCGGGCTGCTGGGCACGGTTTCCGCTGGCCTGCTTCGCCCTTCGCCAGCTCAGCTCGCCCGCCTGCGAAGAGGGGAGGGGCGACAGGTTCTCGAGCCGGAAAGGGCCGAGTCCCTCTGACAGAGCGCCCCGAGCGAAGGGATGAGGAGCTGGGCCTCCCTGCGTCACGAGCAGGATCATGGCGCGCACTGTGTTTCGGGGGGGCCTGCTTCGGGCCCTGGGGGCCATCTGAAGCCGACCCGTGTCGAAGAGTGGGTCCTGGAGATGGAAAGTGGAAGCAACGTGTTCGCCCTTGAGCCCTCGTCGCCAATGCCTGCGGGAACAAATGAAGAGGAAGAGGGGACTTGGGACGGGAGCTTGAATTACAGCACCATCGATACATCTAGGGTTTACTCTGGTCCCTCTCCTCCTCCTCCTCCTCCTCCTCCTCCTCCTCCTCCTCCTCCTCCTCCTCCTCCTCCTCCTCCTCCTCCTCCTCCCGCGGAACCCAATTTTAGACCCCCCGATCCCGTTCTCCCCCCTTTCTCCTCATCATCCCGCAGAGCCGCAGAACTCCTCAAGACCACCTTCCCTATCCTCGTCCCCCTTACCATCGTTATCCGCAACTCTCCAGCTGCGACAAAAATAGCGACTGCAACGGAAACGAAGACGCCGACGACTCCGAAGCCGACGACGGCGGATGACAACCACGGTTGCGACGAGGACGACTGACGGCGACGGAACCACGACGACGATGACGACGACGACGACGACGGCGGCGACGACGACGACGACGGCGACGGAACCACGACGAAGATGACGACGTCGACGTCGGCGGCGCCCACGAGGGCCTGTGCGACGACGGCGACGGAACGACGACGACGACGACGACGACGTCGACGACGACGACGACGACGACGACGACGACGACGACGACGGCGACGACGGCGACGACGACGACGACGACGGCGGCGGCGGCAGCGGCGACGACGACGCACGACGCACGACGGCAAACGAGACGACGACGACGCCGGCGGCCGCGGCCGCGCGGTGCCTCTCGGGCGCGGGGCGGGAGCTCCCCTGCGGTAGTGCGCCTGCTGCGCCGACCTCGCCGCGGCTGGCAGCAGGGGCGCCGCCGCGCTCCTCTCTCTGTGCCGCGGCATTCTCCTTCCGCGGGCGCGCGGCGGGGCCGCGGCCTGCGACCGAGCAGGTGCTGAGCTTGCTCTGGCGACGCGGGGCCCCCTGGAAGCCCCAGGGCAGATGGAGAGCACTCCGGGTTGACCTCTGAACTGTTCCTCCCCCCCCCTCCCTCGGAGGTCCCAGAGGCCATGCGGTGACAGCCCGCGCGGTGACCTCGAGATCCCGGAGGACCTCACAGCACGGGCCGTCGCCGCACGGTCCTTGGGACACCCTGGAGGCCCTGGTCGTCCGAGACGCCCCCTGCCCTCGGAGAGCGACAACAGTCCGTGACGCCGAATCCCCACTGACCCAGATCTCTGTAACCAGCCTCGAACGTATCCCTATCCCTGAGATGGGCGAGCAAAAGGCGAGGACAATCTTGGGGATAGGCCCTCAAAAACTGAGGGAATCCTCAAGATCGGCATCGAGGCGAGGTGATGTCAAACATAGGGATAGGGATATGTTTCAAACTGGAAACCCTGGGCCACACCTCGGGCCTCCGGCGGCCTCTCGGGACGCTCCGGGGCCCCAAGGGGGACGCCCTCGGCGAGGCGCAGCCGCTGGACCGCGCCCCCCCCCGGAGGCACGGCAGCCCGCGGAACCCGGCCACCCCTGGACACCCGAAACCCACGAATCTTAACGGGCGAAGCACAGTATAAAATAAACTTTTTCGCCGTCGGGGACACCTGCCCCAGGGCGGCTGGAAAGTTTATACCCCTACGGTGGCACCGTAGGGGTATAAACTTTCCAGCCGCCCAAGGGCAGGTGTCCTCGACGGCGAAACAAATTATTTTATACCGTTCTTCGCTCGCTGAACGAACCCACCCGGTCCCCACCGACTCCCCCAAAGCGCTGCGGGAAGACATCCGAGAACCCCGAACCCCCCTAGAGGCCCACTAGATGTGGTCCGCGCAGAGGGGTTCGAAGGATCGCGCAGCATCGCCAATGCATCGCCGATGTATCGGCGATGCATCGGCGACGTCGGCGTGGGGAAACACGGGCCGCACATCGAGCCGCACCGGCGATGCATCGGCGATGCGGCGCGATCCTCCGACCCCATCTGATCCGAACCCATCCAGGAGGCCTAGAATGTATCGCTCTCCCCATGGGCTTTTCGCTCCCGGCGTCGCCCTCGCGAGGCGGAGGAGGAGAAGGAGGAGGAAGAAGAGGAGGAGGAGGAGGAGGAGGAAGTGTTGCTCCACCCTGAGGCCTAGACGACCCCCTCTGACTCACGGCCCCGCGCAGCCACCATGCCGCTCGGGAGAGCCCCCGACGTGTGCTCTCTCCGCCGCTCCGAGGCCCCGGGGGGCCGGCGGGCCCGCGGAAGGCGACACGTGGGGCTGGGCATGGCCACTCGGCGTTCCCTGGCCGCGTCGGCCTCCTCCGGCACCGGGCGCGGCCCTGGGCTCGTCGTCGCTGCCGTCGAGCTCCTCGTCGCCGTCGTGCTCGCGCCGTCCTCGCCCTCGCTGTTCGTTACACGCGTCGATCCTGTGCTCAGGCAGTGCCCGAGAAACGAAAAGAAATATGGAGTGGGAGCCAAGGGATGCCCTAGGTAGTCGTCCTCCTTGTCGAGCTCGTCGTCGGCCTCGCCGCCGTCGTCGAACCTCGTCGGCGCCCCCCCCAGGCGCGATTCAGGCGCGTGCCTTACATGCTTCCCCTCAACCTCCTCCGCCCTCCTCCTCCCTCCTGCTCCCTCCTGCTCCCTCCTCCTCCCTCCTCCGCCCTCCTCCTCCCTCCTCCCTCCTCCCTCCTCCCTCCTCCCTCCTCCCTCCTCCCTCCTCCCTCCTCCCCCTCCCTCCTCCTCCCTCCTCCCCTCCTCCACCCTCCTCTCCTCCTCCTCCTCTTCCTCCTCCTCCTCCTCCCTCCTCCTCCTCCTCCTCCTCCTCCTCCTCCTCCTCCTCCTCCTCCGCCTCCGCCTCCGCCTCCGCCTCCAACTCCGACTCTTCCGCTTCCTCTCCTGTCAAAAACTCCACTTTGCCGCCTTGGCGTGTGTCACGAGGGGCCCTGCCCTGGAGAAGTCCCGACCCCCGGGGGCCCACACTCCGCAGCGGCGATTTATCCATAACCACCGCCTGGGGGATCGAGTTTGGGGGCGTCGGCAGGCGGTGAGCATGGATGTGTTGGGCCCCCAAGTCCCGAGTCTATGCGTATCCGTGGCCTGCCGAGGCCTCCGAGAGTCGACCCCTCAGGCGGTGGTTACGGATGGATCGCCGCTTCTCGCAAATACCTGGACTGCCCGAGGCCCTGGAACAACGGGCTGCAGAAGCAGCGCAACTCGAGATGGGGTCCGAGCAGATGGGGTCGGAGGATCTCACCGCATCGCCGATGCATCGGCGATGCCCTGGCGGAGTCGGCGATGCATCGGCGACGTCGGCGTGCAGAAAATCGGGCCCCACATCGAGCCGCAGCGCCGATGCCTCGCCGATGCATCGCCGATGCGGCGCGATCCTCCGATCCCCATCTACCCTGACCCCATCCAGGAGGCCTAGACCCTCGTCGTCGCCGTCGGGGGCCGAGGTGCCCGGGCGATCTGGGGAGCGCCCGTGGGCAGAGCTGTGCTGCTTCTGTGCGACGGGAAAAAAGAGAGAAGTGACACCGCCACCACCATCAGCGCGAGGAGCCAGTCGGGGGGGGCTCTTCTGGTGGTGCGGTGTCGTCCCCCCTCCCCGCTCGAGGCATCACATGCCCTCCGCTCGGGGAGGCATCGTGGACCTACTCGCTGGAGGTGGCAGGCGGGGCGGCTTTCCTGTCCTCCGATCGCCACGGCGGGAGCGCGAGCTGGCCCACTGCGGCACACAGCCAAAGAGCAGCGGTGGCCGCGCGGTCGCCGTCGAGGTCGTCGCCGTCTTCGAGGGCGGCGTTGGCCTGGCCTCGACGGCAGCGGCGACGTGTAGGTCGGCCAGATGCGCCGCGCCTTGCCGTTGTGCCCCTCGGCGGGGGGGGGGAGGGAGGGGCGGCCCCACGGGCCCGGCACGGGCGGCGCCGCCCCGCCGCACCAACCGAGGGGTAACGCTCGGGAGGGACAGGCTCAGGGCGGAAACATCGACCATCCGTCGGAGATACAAAGCAGAGAGATCCACGGTAGGCCCTCCATGGCGAATCCGCACGGCCCCGAGCGAGATGGGCTCTCGGGCCCCTCATCGGCGGTCCGATTGGGGCCCCCTATGCGTCCCCCGCTGAGCCTCTGCCTCCCGACGTTGCCCCTGACAAGCTCACGCGTACTGCCCCTCTGGTAGGACACCCGCGCGCCCGCGAAGGCTACCTTTATGTCGGGCCTGTCCCTCTACAGGAGGAATATTCAAAAAAAAAATGAAAAATAGTCTGGGGACAATGTTTTCAATATTTACCTGACAGCGAAGACTGATAGGCTTCTAGTGGTGTCAAAAGACGGCATCATGACTCCCCAAGGGGTCTGGGCGGGATCCGGACGGGATCCAGACGGGATCCGGGGACTCCTTTTTTAGCCAACAGTAACGCACTTCGTGGTCTTCGAGTTCCCAGAACTCCATTCCTGGGCATGACTTTGAATGCCCGGAGCCAACTGTAGGCCACTTCGTGTGCTTCGAGTTCCCAGAACTCCATTCCTGGGAATGACTTTGAATGCCCGTAGCCAACTGTAGGCCACTTCGTGGTCTTCGAATTCCCAGAACCCCATTCTTTGGCATGATGTTGAATGCCCGGAGCCAACTGTAGGCCACTTCGTGTTCTTCGAGTTCCCAGAACTCCATTTCCGGGCCACATTTTGAATGCTGAGGCAGGCTGATGCTGAGGCTGAGGCAGGCTGAGGCTGAGGCAGGCTGAGGCTGAGGCCGAGGCTGAAGGCAGACTGAGGCTGAGCCTGAAGCAGGCTGAGGCTGAGGCTGAGGCAGGCTGAGGCTGAGGCTGAGGCAGGCTGATGCTGAGGCAGGCTGAGGCTGAGGCTGAGGCTGATGCAGGCTGAGGCTGAGGCAGGCTGAGGCTGAGGCCGAGGCTGAAGGCAGACTGAGGCTGAGGCTGAGGAGGCAGGCTGATGCTGAGGCTGAGGCAGCTGAGGCTGAGGCTGAAGGCTGAGGCTGAAGGCAGACTGAGGCTGAGGCTGAAGCAGGCTGAGGCTGAGGCTGAGGCAGGCTGAGGCTGAGGCTGAGGCTGAGGCTGATGAGGCTGAGGCTGAGGCTGAGGCTGAGGCTGAGGCTGAGGCTGCAAGGCTGAGGCTGAGGCTGAGGCTGAGGCTGAGGCTGACGAGGCTGAAGGCAGACTGAGGCTGAGGCTGAAGCAGGCTGAGGCTGAGGCTGAGGCAGGCTGAGGCTGAGGCAGGCTGAGGCTGAGGCTGAGGCAGGCTGAGGCTGAGGCTGAGGCTGAGTGCAGGCTGAGGCTGAGGCAGGCGGAGGCTGAGGCCGAGGCTGAAGGCAGACTGATGCTGAGGCAGAAGCAGGCTGAGGCTGAGGCTGAGGCTGAGGCAGGCTGATGCTGAGGCTGAGGCAGGCTGAGGCTGAGGCAGGCTGAGGCTGAGGCAGGCTGAGGCTGAAGGCAGACTGAGGCTGAGGCTGAAGCAGGCTGAGGCTGAGGCTGAGGCAGGCTGAGGCTGAGGCTGAGGCAGGCTGAGGCAGGCTGAGGCTGAGGCTGAGGCTGTGGCAGGCTCAGGCTGAGGCAGGCTGAGGCTGAGGCCGGGGCTGCAGGCAGACTGAGGCTGAGGCTGAAGCAGGCTGAGCTGAGGCAGGCTAAGGCTGAGGCTGAGGCAGGCTGAGGTGAGGCAGGCTGAGGCTGAGGCTGAGGCTGATGCAGGCTGAGGCTGAGGCAGGCTGAGGCTGAGGCCGAGGCTGAAGGCAGACTGAGGCTGAGGCTGAGGCAGGCTGAGGCTGAGGCAGGCTGAGACAAGCTCAGGCTGAGGCTGAGGCTGAGGCTGAGGCCGAGCTGCAGGCAGACTGAGGCTGAGGCTGAAGCGGCTGAGGCTGAGGTTGAGGCTGAGGCAGGCTGATGCTGAGGCAGCCTGAGGCTGAGGCTGAGGCTGAGGCAGGCTGAGGCTGAGGCAGGCTGAGGCTGAGGCCGAGGCTGCAGGCAGACTGAGGCTGACGCTGAAGCAGGCTAATGCTGAGGCTGAGGCAGGCTGAGGCTGAGGCTGAGGCTGAAGCAGGCTGAGGCTGAGGCAGCCTGAGGCCGAGGCTGAGGCTCAGGCTGATGCAGGCTGAGGCTGAGGCAGGCTGAGGCTGAGGCCGAGGCCGACGGCAGACTGAGGCTGAGGCTGAAGCAGGCTGAGGCTGAGGCTGAGGCAGGAGAGACTGAGGCTGAGGCAGGCTGATGCTGAGGCAGGCTAAGGCCGAGGCTGAGGCTGAAGCAGGCTGAGGCTGAGGCAGGCTGAGGCTGAGGCCGAGGCCGACGGCAGACTGAGGCTGAGGCCAGGCTGAGGCTGAGGCAGGCTGAGGCTGAGGCCGAGGCTGAAGGCAGACTGATCCTGAGGCTGAAGCAGGCTGAGGCTGAGGCTGAGGCAGGCTGAGGCTGAGGCAGGCTGAGGCTGAGGCTGAGGCAGGCTGAGGCTGAGGCTGTGTTTGCGACTGCCGTTGCCACTGCGACTGTCATCGCGAATGCGACTACGACTGCGAGAACAGCAGAATTCTACGACTGGATTATCATCTGAATCTTAAGGGGAATGCTTCCACATATGCTCCTACACATCGCTGTTAGGATGGTTTGCCGGGATAATGTTTGACAGTTTTGGGATACGTTTGGGGTATTTACCTAAAAGCGAAGACTGATAGGTTTCTAGTGGGGTCAAAAGCGAGCATCTTGACGCCCCATGGGGGTCTGGGCGGGATCCGGACGGGATCCAGACGGGATCCGGGGACTCCTTTTTAGCCAACAGTAACGCACTTCGTGGTCTTCGAGTTCCCAGAACTCCATTCCTGGGCATGACTTTGAATGCCCGGAGCCAACTGTAGGCCACTTCGTGTTCTTCGAAATCCCAGAACTCCATTCCTGGGCATGAGTTTAAATGCCCGGAGCCAACTGTAGGCCACGTCGTGGTCTTCGAGATCCCAGAACCCCATTCTCTGGCATGATTTTGAATGCCCGAAGGCAACTGTAGGCCAGTTCGTGGTCTTCGAGTTCCTAGAACTCCATTCGTGGGTATGAATTTGAATGCCCGGAGCCAACTGTAGGCCACTTCGTGTTCTTCAAGTTCCTAGAACTCCATTCCAGGGCCACATTTTCAATGCTGAGGCAGGCTGAGGCTGAGGCTGAGGCAGGCTGAGGCTGAGGCTGGGGCAGGCTGAGGCTGAGGCAGGCTGAGGCTGAGGCAGGCTGAGACTGAGGCTGAGGCAGGCTGAGGCTGAGGCAGGCTGAGGCTAAGGCCGAGGCTGAAGGCAGATTGAGGCTGAGGCTGAAGCAGGCTGAGGCTGAGGCAGAGGCAGGCTGAGGCTGAGGCAGAGGCAGGCTGATGCTGAGGCATGCTGAGGCTGAGGCTGAGGCTGATGCAGCTGGGCTGAGGCAGCCTGAGGCTGAGGCCGAGGCTGAAGCAGCCTGAGGCTGAGGCTGAGCCAGGCTGAGCTGAGGCTGAGGCAGGCTGAGGCTGAGGCAGGCTCAGGCTGAGGCTGAGGCTGAGCAGGCTGAGGCTAAGGCTGAGGCAGGCTAGGCTGAGGCCGAGGCTGAAGGCAGACTGAGGCTGAGGCTGAAGCAGGCTGAGGCTGAGGCTGAGGCAGGCTGAGGCTGAGGCTGAGGCAGGCTGATGCTGAGGCAGGCTGAGGCTGAGGCTGAGGCTGATGCAGGCTGAGGTTGAGGCAGGCTGAGGCTGAGGCCGAGGCTGAAGGCAGACTGAGGCTGAGGCTGAAGCAGGCTGAGGCTGAGGCTGAGGCAGGCTGAGGCTGAGGCTGAGGCAGGCTGAGGCTGAGGCTGAGGCAGGCTGAGGCTGAGGCAGGCTGAGGCTGAGGCTGAGGCTGAGCAGGCTCAGGCTGAGGCAGGCTGAGGCTGAGGCGAGGCTGAGGCAGACTGAGGCTGAGGCTGAAGCAGGCTGAGGCTGAGGCTGAGGCAGGCTGAGGCTGAGGCTGAGGCAGGCTGATGCTGGGCAGGCTGAGGCTGAGGCTTTGGCTGATGCAGGCTGAGGCTGAGGCAGGCTGAGGCTGAGGCCGAGGCTGAAGGCAGACTGAGGCTGAGGCTGAAGGCTGAAGGCTGAGGCTGAGGCAGGCTGAGGCTGCGGCAGGCGGAGCTGAGGCCGAGGCTGCAGGCAGACTGAGGCAGAGCCGCGGATGACTGAGGCAGGCAGCCTGAGGCTGAGGCTGAGGCAGGGGCTGAGGGGCTGATGCCTGAGGCTGAGGCTGAGGCTGAGGCTGAGGCTGAGGAGGCTGAGCTGAGCTGAGGCTGAGGCAGAAGCAGGCTGAGGCTGAGGCCGAGGACGGAGACTGAGCTGAGGCTGAGGGCTGCTGAGGCTGAAGCAGGCTGAGGCTGAGGCTGAGGCAGGCTCAGGCTGAGGCTGAGGCAGGCTGATGCTGAGGCAGGCTGAGGCTGAGGCTGAGGCTGATGCAGGGTGAGGCTGAGGCAGATTGAGGTTGAGGCCGAGGCTGAAGGAAGACTGATCCTGAGGCTGAAGCAGGCTGAGGCTGAGGCTGAGGCAGGCTGAGGCTGAGGCAGGCTGAGGCTGAGGCTGAGGCAGGCTGAGGCTGAGGCTGTGTCTGCGACTGCCGTTGCCACTGCGAGTGTCATCGCGAATGCGACTACGTCTGCGAGAACAGCAGAATTCTACAACTGGATTATCATCTGAATCTTAAGGGGAATGCTTCCAGATATGCTCCTACACATCGCTGTTAGGTTGCTTGGCCGGGATAATTTTTATTTGTCGTCGAAAATTCCCCTGTAGGGGGACACGCCCAACTTAAGACTCATTAGCATGAACCCGAAAAGTCCGCTGCGCCAGCGGGAACATCCCAGCAACAAAAAACGGCGGTCGAGCACGGACGGGCCGAC